CCCCCCGTAAGGTTCCTTTCCGTCAGTACGTCTCTTACCAGCCGGTACTGCCGAATGAACTTCTTCATGATTTCCACCCGTCCAGCTATATTGCCGCCACTCAGCCAGTGGGGCATATTTTGAATGATCCATTCTGAATCTTGTTTCCAATGAAATTTTTCACTTTGTTGAATGCGACTTTGGAATCATTAATACTTGGAGGAATCTTTAATTTAAAGCAGTCGTTCCATAATGGCATTTTCGAGAAATTCATATATATATATGAACCATCGCAGCCGTGACTTTTCAATCTGAAGAAGCAGCATTGCACACTTGTACTCCGTTAGTACTTCTTAGAATGGCATCGCCTTGACCGTGGCTACGTTTGATCCTCTAAAGGCCAGCAGGACAACTCGAAAGCATAATTCAATAACTGATCAACTGCAGCATCAAAATGAATGATGAAAATGAACCGGAAGAAGACTGACGTCGTGGTTAACGGGTGCTTTTCAAACAATCTTTTGAAGTAAACGAGAAAACACTCGAGGAGGACTAAAACCATTTCTACGATATACTGCTAATCTATGCAAAGGGGAGCAAACCACAAAAAGTCAAAAGAAGGGTAGAAGTAGGAAGCGGATCTTTTGGCCGGTCGGAAACGGTTATGCAAGAAGTTGGATTGCTACGATTAGATTATTATTAATAAGGGAAATTGTTATCATGACGGTAATCGGTTACAAATATGAAATGATTGTTGATATTGTCAGCTGCGTGTCAATTTTGAACCACGAAAAAATTCCTACTTCAATAGAAAGATACTTTAGTTCTATGAAGAAGACACTTAGGCTTTTCAGATATCTCTTGTCGTTTCACGGTGCGTGGAATCGGAAAACATGCTGTTGAGCATCACTACTCGTCTTCGGGTAGATTCCTTTTTATCAGTATATCTCCTACCAGCCGGTACTGTCGAGTGAAGTGCTTTATGACTTCATTTCCTGAACCATTGTTCGTGTAATCTAAATGTCAATCATTTTGCATAAATTAGATTTGTACTGCTCACCATGGTCTCCGCCATGGCCGCTCCCAAGCCCGGATAAGAAAGGAGGAGGGTTGGAGACCATGTCAAGTCTCCGTCAAATTCAGCCACCTACCACTCATGGTATTGACGCCTTCGAAAATTATACCGGCTCAGTCGTCGCCCGGGTTACCAAGAGCCGCGCAGGTTGTTGGGGGACTGAAGCAGACCGCGAAAAGTCGGCGATCAGAACCTGCTCATTGCCCTCTGCCAGCCGGGGG